TTTCAGACATTGTTTGGTTATTAACGTGTTCTCTAGCCCATTTTCCTAAACTTCTTAGTATTAAATCTTTTAATTTATTCAAACAGTTAACAGGCAATTGTGTAAGGTTTTGTATGGAATTTTGATATTTCTCGTCACAATCCCAATCCCGCAACCTTCCGAAAAGTTCATAGCCATGGTCGCTAAAAAATTTTAAATTAGACAACTCCAATTTTTCAAATGCATCAAGAATATCGTCATCATAAGATTCACCGTCTATTTCAGAGTAAGATTTTTTTGCAAATAACAGGATTTTATGAAATTCAAAGTCTTTAGTTAGCCAATTACAAGTTATTACTACATAGTAGTCATCAAATTTAATCCTAGTATCTGGCTTGAATTCATAAATTGAAAACATAGTAGATTTCTCTTGCTGAGCTTTTAACTTTAATTGAAGGAATAAACGATTATATGCTTTATTTATTTGCTCTTTTATAATATCAGAAGTAGATAGTTCAATATTTGGATTAACAAATCCAGCAGATTTTAAAGCATCAACAAAATTAAAAGGTAATCCAGAGGAAACAATAAATTTAATTAATGGTATATTAATTTCTGATTCCGAATTACTAAAATTAATAGTTGATGTTGTAGATGTTAAAGTTGATGTTGTAGATGTTAAAGTTGATGTTGTTGATGTTAAAGTTGATGTTGTAGATGTTAAAGGTGTTAAAGGTGTTGAGGATTTCATTATACCATGCTTATTCTTAAGATGGCGAACATGATTAGAAGTAGATCCACACCATATGTAACTTGCAGTGCATCCAGGAACTGTACATTTTGTCACTGTTCCATTCTCCCTTGGGACCTTGAATGGTTCAAAATATTTCCAACAAATGCTTTCCCTATCATTATTTTCTGTGCGTTGGCGTTTTGTTTGTTGAGCTCCACTACTGCTAGTAGCAATTAAGTTATTCTCGTTATCATTAGAATTGGATGCTTGAAATATTTCTTGATTGCTTTCATATCCAGACATCATAATAAAGGCTATAAGTCTATTGGTAATGGTAAATCAGTACGTATACGTACGTACGTACGTACATTTATTTAAACCGTTTATAGCAGTGTTACGTAACACCATGCAATACTTTTCTGTTTTTAACTTCTGTAACTGACGAATCAAAATAAGTTACAAATGCCCATATATGGGAAACTATTGTGATACCTCCGAAAGAATTTAAGTTGCCGAACAAATTTGATAGTGGCAAAATGCTTTAGGCATATTCTAGTCATCGTGAGAATCGATGATCGAATACTTTAATTGCGCTTTGCAAAAAGATGTGACCTCAGCAGATCACGATAAAAGCCCTAGCGTTACGTAACGTAAGACCCTAGCATCACCACCCTAAAAAAAAAAATTGCTACCAGCGTCAGGGTTAGGTTTCGGGGTATTTTTCGTTTTGATTTTATGTTGCAACTGATCTTAGATTTTAATTCGGCCGATAGCGAAATTTTTAGGGTGGTGATGCTTGGGTGTCAACAACCGAGGGCGCAGTCATGTGATATTCCGACAATTCTGAAAATTTGAACTGTTTTCATTTTTTTTCAAACATTATTTTCATACTTTTATAAATCTTTTTTTATTATTACTGTATAGTATCTTTTTGTTTTTTTGGAAGGGTGGGCTTTTTAATTGTTTTGTAAGAAACAAAACCATTATCATTAGTCTAGGATAAATATTTAGGCGTATTACAAAGATAAACAAGCGGACAGATTTAAATGAACTGTAAAACTTGAATTAAATTGTATAAATGAATCAAATCAAAGAATATACAAAATCTACTCAACTAATATAAAATTAAATTTTACAGTTCGTAATATTCAAGTTCGTTATAAAGAAGTTATAGCAAGCTTCGGCTATAATAAATGAATCTGCATTCATGAACCAAATTGACACAAATAAAATAATTAGAACGAAGCTAAAAAGATTGCAGAGTTCTATCATTTACTTATGAGTTAAATAACCGGAAAAACCAATGTGCCCAAATATAGCTCACTCTTGTTATAGTAAACTCTCGATATGGTAACATTCGATAGAGAAGAATTTAAATTATGGAATTATTAAACTTCAACTAGATATAGTAAAGTATATATTCTTTCTATATAGGCTATAGTGAAGATTTCGTTCCTCAGTCGAAATCCGCCGAAAGCGATGTTGGTGGAAGCCCTTAAGTGGTCAATTTGACTTTATAATATTATTTTATATGCTGTTGTATGGGGTCTGTAAAAAATGGAAGAGTGAGTTCGATAATCTATAGGAAAGTTGTTTGTATACGTGTAAGTAATTGTGCTTTATTAAAGACCATCTTCCCAAAACAATAGTCCCTATAAAAATTTTTTGAAAAACATACCCGGCTTTTCCCAGTTTATGATTTTGGAAAACACTCATTATCCCGAAAAATAAAATTTCTGGTTACTTTCGTGCAATCCCGATAATTTTCAATTTTTAAAATTCAGCATCTAATTTTAATGAAATGCAGGATATTATAAGCCGCATATAATATCATCAGGATTTAATTTTACGTGGAAATTTTCAGATTTTACAAAGATAACTAGGAAAGATGAGAATTTCTCGGAATGATAATCTGGAAAGTCTGGTACGTACATACGTACATACTGTATGTTTTTCTCATTGTTTTTATAGAGATATGATAATATAATCTGTTCCTTGTAAATCCAATATATTACACAATCATCATATCAAGATATATCCTGGGTTTTAGGTATGCAACGGAAACTTCCACTTATATCTGATATCATTACTATTAAAACCTCAAAAATCTCTAAAAATATATAGGTTAAATTGGTCAATCACATGAAACCAACATTACCTTATGGTTGGCTACATCTTCTAGCATATGAGAATTAACTAATTAAATTTAATAAACTCACGTTCATGATACATAATATGGGCTAGGTGCTACAGAAAAGGGGGAAATCAACAATAAAAAAGATCTTCGGAAAATCAATTTTTATGTTATAA